AGATAGATGATAGATAAGATAGATAGATAGATAGATAGATAGATAGATAGATAGATAGATAGATAGATAGATAGATATAGATGATATATCTATATCTATATGTAATTAGGGTATGGCTAGCTGATGAGAGCTAAATAGCTTGAAATAGATCTATACTAGTCTCCCTTTATTTATTTATCAGCATAAATACAACACACACACACAGACACACACATATATTGTAATTTCATTTCAAAGTTCTGGCATCATCAACGACCTCGGGGCCCTTTCGTTAAAGATCAGTGCCCGGGGTGTGTGGGTGTCCGTCCAACTGCCCAATTGTTAAAAAAAGGGTCATACTTTGAGGTCGAGAGAGACTCAGTTGACATGAAAAATGCATGAAAAAGGAATGTTTTTTTCTTTCCCCCCTCCCCGGGGCAATCCCCATCATTGCTGTAAAACTCACTTTCCCCGTTTTCCCAGCATGGTTGCACTTGGGACATTCCCAACAATTCGGAAGCTCCTCGTTCACCACGCCGTCCGATTCCCGCACCTGAGACAGGGTGAAAGGGGGAGAGAGAAAGACAGGTAGAGAGAGAGAGAGAGAGGAAAACAGACGACAAGAGAAATTTTTGTTTACACAGGCAGGGGTTCCTATTCCTATTCCATTCATTCATCCCGTTTACAAACTTCCCATCTCCCTCCCAGAGAAACCCATGACAGGCAGCCCTCGACTTACGACGATTCGTTTAGTGACGGTCCGGAGTTGCAACGGCACTAAAAAAACAGTGAGTTATATGGCCTTCATTCACAAACACACACTCACATGGGGACGTGATCAAAATTCGGACACTTGGCAAACCGACTCGTATTTATGACGGCTGCGGTGCCCCGGAGGCCACTCGATCTGCTCTTGTGACCTTCTGCCAAGCAAAGTCAACGATTCACTTAACAACCGGGTTACTCAACGATCGACTGCAGGTGATTTGTTTAACAACCGTGGCCAGAAGGGCCAAAACTCGCTTAGCGGTGGAAATCCCGGGCTCAGATGTAGTCGTAAGTCGAGGACCCCCTGGAATAAGTCCCAGAAGGCTCCCGTCCTTACCTTAAGGCACCCGGGGTGGATAATTTCGTTGCAGATGGAGCACTCCATAAGCATCAGGTTAAATTTGCTCTCTTCCTCCTCCACCGTGTCTTCCTTTCCTGCTTCTCCGCACACCAAGCACACAGCGGTGTGAGGCAACACCGGCTGCAGACAAAGGAAGAAGGGGCAGATCAGAGGATCGGAAATGGCAGCAAAAGCGACTGGAGCAGACAAGGAATGCTTCGGCCTGGAGCAAGCTTGGCAACGTTATGATCCCTGGACTTCAACTCCCAGAATTCCTCAACCGCTTATGCTCAGCCAGTCCACCAGGCCGCATGGCTGGCTGAGGAATTCTGGGAGTTGAAGTCCACCAGGCCGCATGGCTNCCCACCCCCGGTTCCTAATAGAGGCCTCCCCTATTCCTTACCACCGATTCCAGGTCCGACAGACCCTCATGCAGACGCAGAGTTCCCTGGGCCGGAGGTAGCCGAAGACAGCCATCCACACCTCCCTCTGCATCACGTGGGCCGCCCCATCGTCCAGCAGGAGCGAGTCGGGCGGGGGGCTGATGGGGGGCGGCCGCACCACGTGCCGCTCCATCTGCATGCACTTGGGGGGCGAGAGGGAAGGAGGGGGGCGGGCGATGGCCCTGGGGGTGGGGGTGCTGCCGCGGAGGTTGGAGATGAACGGATGGCGGAGTTCCTGCGGCGTCCCGTTGAAGCCCTTGGTGAGCGGGTGCAGCTGCTCCGGGCCGAGGTGGTGCTTGGCCTCCTCGTTCTCACTCTCCGGCTCCGATTTGATGGGTTGGTGGTCCTCGTTGGCCAGGCTGTTCTCGGTCTTCTGGATCTCCTGGTTGAGCTCCTTGCTCAGTTCCTTGCTCAGCTCTTTGTTGGGCAGGCGAGCTTTCCGGCGGATCTTGAGTTTCTTTTTCTCCCGGGACTCGGCGCCTTCCGAACTCGGCCCCGCGGTGGGCGAGCTCGAACGCGACTGGTCGCTCTCCTTGGTTTTCGGAGCTTCCTCCGGGAAGACCTCTCCCCCTTCTTGCTTGAAGCGCCGCAGGGGCTTGAGGGCAGCCACCCGGTCATCCGGGGTCTTCCACGAGCGCCTCTAGAAAGGAGGAAGAGACCCCGATATCAAAGGAGAGAATCCATCAACGAAGCGAGATTCAGCCGGTTCGCACCGGTACGGACAAACTGGTAGCGGAAGCTGCGCGAAGCTCCGCCCACCCACCCACCCTGACGTAATGCACATGCACAGGAGGAGGTGCTTGTGAGCAAAGCGGTAAGGAAGGTAAATGAGTCCCACCACTGGCGCTAAACCACCGCTGGAGGGCTGGGGAATTCTGGGAGTTGAAGTCCACCCCCTCTCGAAGTTCCCAAGGCGGAGGGACGCAGATAGCCCTCGGCTATCGGCCACAATCGAGACCAACAAGTTCTGTTGCTGAGCGAAACATTTCTTAAGTGAGTTTCGGCCCATTTGACCACCTTCCCTGCCAATGTTGTTAAGTGAATCACTGCGGGCGTCCAGTTAGTAACACGGTTGTTCGTTGGATCTGGTTTCCCCATTGACCTGGCCCGCCACAGGGTTCACAAAATAGGATCACGTGACCCTGGGACATCACAACCTTGGCAAGAGCCCGAATTTTAATCACGTGACTCTAAGGATGCTGGAGCGGTTGTGTGAAAAACATTCAGAAGTCACGTTTTTCAGTGCCATCACAGTCACTGTTGCAAGTTGAGGACTTCTTGTATAATCACTGCTGACCCCTAGGGAAGATTGGGGGAGGAGGGAGGGGGTGGGAGAAATCCATACAAATGAAGAAATTACCTTTTTTCTGAACAGCTTCTCTTCTTTCCCCAGTTTTAGCTACGGGAGGAAGGAAGGAAAATGTGTATTTTATTTACTAGACGTCACTCTTCCCACGTGCCGCCTGGGGGAATTCTGGGAATTAAAACCTGGCCAAGCTTAAAGTTACAGAGGTTACGAAACACTACCCTAAATGGCTGGCTAGTTTAAAGGTAAAGGTTCCCCTCGCACATCTGTGCTAG